GTCAGGAGTTGAAGACCAGCCTGAGCAAGAGTAAGACCCCATCTCTACTAAAAACAGAAAAATTAGCCGGGCATGGTGGTGTGCTCCTGTAGTCCCAGCTACTCAGGAGGCTGATGAAAAAGGATCATTGGAGCCCAGGAGTTTGATGTTGCTGTGAGCTAGGTTGATGCCATGGCACTTTAGCAGGGGCAACAGAGTGAGACTCTATCTCAAAAATTAAAAAAAAAAAAAAAATTCATATTCAGGGAAGAAAAACCTAATAACTTGATAACTGGTTGCTTTTTTAAAAATTGATTTTATTTTTTAGAACAATTTTTAAGATTTATTTTTTAGAACAATTTTACGTTCATAGCAAAATTGAACAGAGGATACAGAGATGTCCCATGTTACATGCCCTTGCATAGCTTCCACCATTATTAACATCCTCCAGCAGAGTGGGGTATTTTTTATATTTTTCATATCCATGAACCTATACTGACACCCTATTACCATGCAAAGTCCATAGTTTACATTAGAGTTCACTCTTGGTTGTGTATATTCTATGGGTTTGGACAAATATATAATGACATTATAGTAGTATATAGAATGGAACAGAATAGAAGATGGAATAGAATCTTTCTTCAGCATGTATTTCTGAGTACTCACTACGTGCCAAGAACTACGCCAACCACCAGGAATGTAAAATAGAATAAAACATAGTACCTACTTATTTTCAAAGAGGAAAGAATCTGGGGGAGGAGAAAGGTAAATCCACAACCACAGTAAAGTGCAGTAATAAATATGAACCAGAGGTATGTATAGGGCAGAACAAGGAAAACTCTTGAGTCTTTTTTTTTTTTTCTAGAGACAGGGTCTCACTCTGCTGCCCAGGATGGAGTGCAGTGCCTAATCATAGATCACTGCAGCCTTGAATTGCTGAGCTCAGATCATCCTGCTTCCACCTCCTAAGTAGCTGGGACTATCTTTAGGTGCATGCCACTACACCTGGCTAAGTTTTTTTTTGTAGAGACAGGGTGTCACTATGTTTCTCAGGCTGATCTAGAACTTCTGGCCTCAAGCAATCCTCCCTCCTCAGCCTCCCAAAGTGCTAGGATTATAGGCATGAACCACTGCGCCCGGCCAAAAACCCTTTAGTCTTAAAGGATGTAAAGTGATTACCTAGATCAGCAGTCTCCAACTTTTTTGGTACCAGGAACCGGATTCATGGAAGACAATTTTTCCACAGGACTGGGGGTGAGGGGGTGACACCTCAGGCAGTGATGCAAGCAATGGGGAGCAGCCATAAATACAGATGAAGCTTCACTCACTCGCCCACCACTTACCTGCTATGTGGCCCGGTTCCTAAGTTTCATGGAAGACAATTTTTCCATAAACAGGGTGGCGGGGGTGGGGGGATGAGGCAGAGCTCAGGCAGTGATGCAGGGCCTGTTTCTTAACAGGCTACAGCCTGGGGGTTTGGTACTGCAGACCTAGATGAAGTAGTCTGGTATGGCTGGAGCAAAAGGGCATGGAATAAGACTGGACAAAGCAGTGGCTCTCATACTTCACAGTGCCACAGTCACTTGGGAGGCTTGTTAACACATTAACTGCCATGTGAGTTGTATTTAACTCATGTTAGTTTTGAGCCCAGAGCCTTGTGAAGCACATGTAACTCACATGTCTCTTTACCTTGGCAGCCATGGTATGCAGGCAACTCACAGTGCCATGCTGTAGCATACATGTTATGTGATGGGTGGCCCCCTAGGTAAAACCCTACAGTTGATTCGTGAAAATCTTACTTGTTGATGTTCTTATTGTTACAATTAATATTAACAATTTAACTGCATATAACTCATATGCAGAAAACAATAAAAAATAACAAATTTTTCATTAAATTAGAAAGGATTGTTTTGTTTTTTTTTTTGAGACAGAGTCTCGCTTTGTTGCC